TTTTTTTTTTTTTTTTTTTTTGCATTACTGGGGACCGGACTCAGGACATTGCGTTTGCAAGGCAGGCCCAGTGCCACTGAGCTAAATTCCCAACCTGTTACTCTTATGCTTAATATATACAGATGCATTTTCTGCAGCTCTGGAAAATTATTTTCTAGTATTTCTTTTGTAATCTCCATTTTTTTTATTTTATCTTCTGGGATGTTTATTGGTTGGATATTGGATCTCTCAACTTGATCCTCTCTTCTCTCTCATTATTTTGTCATAATTTTCTAATGCATTCTAGATTTCCTCAAATTCATCTTTTAAACTTCACTTTGAATTTATTATTTTTATTTCAACAATACAATAATAATAATTTCCATAAGAATTGTTTTGTTCTCTTCTCTGAATAGCATCCTGTTATTTTTTATCGATGAGACATCTTCCATCTAAGAAACTAGTTGTGAAAGTTTTTAGTATTGTCGTTTACATTACTGAAATTATCTGTTTTTCTCAGGTCACTGTTTTCTTTTTGTTTACCATAATCTAGCTTTCCATTAACATCTTCTTTCCCTTTTATGTGAAAAAAATACTGATCAAAAGCTGAAGATAGCTCTGCGGGTAAGGACAGAGCTGACTAGTTGAATTTGTTTCCAAGATCAGATGAATTATACTGGATGCATCCTAAATGCTCCAACATGGTATCTTTTTCTGCCACTACTGATTTTCTTGCCTGGTGTCTTGGGTGCCTTGTGGCACTACCTACTAGGCATATGGTTGGAGATATGAGGTAGATCAATTGGCACCCAAAGAGCTCTCCTATTTTCAGCTTCCCCTCATTTTCAAACTCTCTAGTTCATGTGGGCTCTGCAAGCCAATCACCTTCTTCTCTGGTGAACTGTGGGAGCTTCACCTTCCTCAGCCCTGCTGCAGATGACTCCACTCCTCCATCAGTGTGGCCTTCCATAATCTATGGAAATGCCTCACCTTAAAAAAGCCCTTAGCAATTTGCTTGGTGTTCAGGATGTATGACTTTTTTAATTGCATCATGATCATTTTAGAAAGAGGAGGAAAATGAGTGTGGCCAGTTTTCCATCATTAATCGGATGGCTCACTGCTTGCTTTTTAAACTGTGACTGCATAAACTTGGCCTTATATTCATTCTTCTTGTGCCTTAGTAATTACCAACAAAGCAGCCTGAACCCCAGTTATTGCACAGACATAGAACAAATGTAGAGGTATGTGCTGTTCTGTGTATATTTGTATTCTGAGGACAGCAACTGCTACATGCTTCAGTTCTATTCCTTAATAAGTTTAGAGAAATAAAATCTATGTCTCTGTTGTAAACTGTCCCTACGCTTTGTGATAATGGGGGAAACACTTGAGGTTAGAGGAAAGTTGTCTTGTGCTTCTAGGACATGCTAGCCAGGCTGGGCAATTTGGCTTCCACACAGCTCAGGCCCAGACCAGCTGCAGCAGATACGGTCCCTGGTTATCCGAGGTCCACCTGGGCATCCTTTTGACCATGTTGCTGCTTCCCCCAGCTTTGCTGTGCTTTTGCTCCTAATGGCAGCGATTGCACCATCTTGTCAGACCTCTAGAACTCATTTGTCCCCAACACAAGGAGACATAGGATCTACACACCCCTCCTCCCCTCCGTGTCAGTCCTTCCTTATAGCCTTTACCCAGGGCCTGAGATGCTGAAATGTGGGCGCTCTGCTCTCACCTGGACTGCAAATCTCTGCACTTCCACTCCCCACTTCACATGCAGGCCGAGGCTGAAGTCTCCCTTGGGAGTGCATCCGACATCACCCCTTACTTGGCTTCCTTCATTGCTCTGCTTTCCCCAGTCTCTTCGGCTCTTGCCAAGCACTTGCTTAAGAATCGCTTGCAGAGGAGCCCCATATCAGAAGCACTGAAGGTGAGTTGGCTGGAGTTACTGAGAGATCTTGTGTTCCCTTCCTCAACAGCACCTTAATGAAAACCTGGCAAAGCTCACTGCCAAGTTTGAGAAAGCAACAGCAGATAAACTCAAATGTCAGCAAGAAGCTGAGGTGACCGCAGGCACCATCTCCCTTGCAAACCGCCTGGTGAGTGCACGCCTCAGCAGCCGGAGCTCTAATTATATTACAACCCTCGGAGTGCCGTGGGGGTGTGAAATAGATGAGCACAGCTCAGCACTGCTTTGACTTGTGGGGAAATATTAAAGTGTTCAGGGATGCGGGAACTGATGCTTGAGAAAAGTATGAGTGCACACTCTGGTCTGGTCAAGAGTTTTCTTACAGAGATGATTGGGAAGGAAGTAGATACTGAATCTCTCAGCCCATGAAGGGTGTAACCATGCTTACATGGATGTACATTGATCAGAGGAAGCATTAAAACTCAAAGCTCGATTTTTTTTTTGCCAACTCTGATGATCTTGTTAATATTCTGCTTTAATAATGACTGTGACCATGACTAGAAACTAAGAAAAAAAAGAGTAAAATGGATTGTCTCTGAGCATTGTTGAACATGACTTTATCCATGCACATGTGCTCAAGTTATGGGTACCTGTTGCCTCAAAACAAATTACCCCCAAAACTTAGTGATTTGTCACAGTAATTTCCCAAGTTTGTGAGTCAGGATTCAAGCAAAGTTCAGCTGGCCTAGGCTTCTGCTCCATGACTGAGGCCACTCAGTGTGATTCAGCGTGGATGAGCTGAGCCTTAGAGGCCAGGTGACTTCCTTCACCTGCTGGGCACCTTGGCAGAAGAGACTGGCAGAGTGGGCTCAGCAGGACCTCTCTCCCTCTCTGCATGGTCTCAGGGCCTCCCCATGCTATCTCATCGACAAGGTAGACATCTCACATAATGACTTAGGGCTTATGAGCAAATGTTCCAAGAAACAGGAAGTGGAAAGTCCCAGTCTCTTAAAGCCTGGGACCTAAAACCATCACAATATCACTTTCAATATCTCATCAAAGTCACAAATTCAAAGGCAGTGAGACAGACATCAGATCTTGAGAGGAGTTTCAAGAAGGTATGGCTTTTTAAAATGCTCCATGGCTTATAATTAGCATCACCTCTGTCAGCCAAGATCCTGGGGGTTGGGCATGTAGCTCAGTAGCACAGCATTTGTCTAGCATGTGCAAGGCCCTTGGTTGAAGCCCCAACAGAAAAGAGAGAAAGAGAGACTCTCACAAAGCAGTAGCCACTGGATGTGATTTCTCTTCACGTTAAGTCTTTGTAGCATCAGCTTTACTAATGAAAGGATATATAATCAATTCATTTTTATATTTATCACAGCTATCTTTATTTACATAAAAAGCCACTTTAAAAAATTTTAGGAGGAATGAGTCATTCGATAGAACCGTGCTTTAGTGAGGCTACCCCAAAAATGTAAGGCTGCGCACTTGTTTGCAGGAGCAGCTGCTTAGTTTCAAGATTCTCCATTTAGTTACACAGTTTCATGTAGAGACAGCACCTCTGCAAATGTGCTGGAAGTCATCCAGATCCTCTAGCTGGCTCGCCTTCCATTCAGCTCCCTGCTTGGTTTCCAAAATTCAGCACACCCTTGTCTAACGGGCTGGAGACGTCCTGACTTCTGAGCATGTTCTGTCTCTTGGGAGGTAGGATGGCGCTCTGTTCTTGTAGACAGGGTAGGCTCCACCACCACCTCTGTCACAACCAACCAAGATTCTGGGGAGATACTAGGACTTTGGCAAGTGACCCGGGTTGACAAATCCCTCGGGTCTCTCCTGGCTCTGACAGTATGCCATCGTTCAAGGAAAAGCCGCATGGTAAGTTCGAATGCAGAAACCACGCTCCATCATGCACCTCATGGTTTTCCACAGAAAGTCTGGCTCTGCTCCCCAGGAGAAGCTGCCATGTGGGCCAGGCCAGTCCAGCTACACTGTGTAATTCATCGCTCTTTATACACACCCTGGTGCCTACTTCTAACTTAGGTGTACTTCTAACACTGTATCTTGATGATCGTGTCTATCTCCCTGCCCACCATGAATCATTTCATGGACTTGATTGTATTTATTTATTTTTATTTCCCTCTTTCCCCATCTGGAAATGAGCACTTGGAGAGGAGAAGTGAGAGGTGCACAATGTCTTGCATGTCTCACAAACCAGGCATTGTCATAAGTGGTTAACACACACAATTATATTTAATCTTCCCAACAGCCCTCTGGGGTGGGTGATATCCATCCTCACATGCAGAAAGGACAAATCCTGGAAGCCTGCGTTCAGGCCCGTCATCTTTCCCCCACCCACATAACGCATAAAACAGAACAGCAACTTGATTGCTAAAATGCTTGCTTCAGCAGAGCTGCATATGAAGAGGCCACACAAATGTCCTGAGGCCTTCTGCTAGTGAGCACAATGCACATCCTGAGACTGCATCCCCAGCTCTGTAGCGCATGGCGTGACACATCCTCTCCCCTCTCTCGTCTTTGAAATGGTAGGTTGGAGGACTCGCTTCTGAAAATGTGAGATGGGCAGAGGCTGTGCAGAACTTCAAACAACAGGAAAGGACATTGTGTGGAGACATTTTACTCATTACCGCCTTCGTTTCATACCTTGGCTTCTTTACAAAGAAATACCGTCAGAGCCTCATGGATGGAACCTGGAGACCCTACCTGGGCCAGCTGGAGGTAGGTACTGCCGGAATTTCTCTTGACCACACAGCCTATGGCTACCAGTAACATCACATGGCCATGATAACTCAAATCTCCTAGTGCCCTCTTACACATGTACTTCTGCCCTTTCCTGAGAGCCAGGGGTGGGACGAGCACACCCATGCCTTCTGCAGTACCCTGTGGGATACAAGAGGTCAGAAACTTACCCCTGAGTGAGGTCCTCCATGGAAACCTTGGTGCTCTAGCCAGTTGTTGTCTCTTAGCTTTTCTCAGAGCTGAAAACCTGGAAGACACCAAAGAAGCTTGAGTTTCTCTCAGATCCCCTTGTTCCAGAGCCAAACAACATAGGAGCAATTGGGAAGCTCTCTTTCCCTATTTTTTACTGCACCTTGTCACCAGGGCCCAAAGTTGCATGGCTTCTACCCACAGATCAGAAAACAGCACCTATGATTCACAGACACCCTTATGGAAACAGCTTTTTCTTCCACAACTCTGATGCTTTTTCCTTGGGCTGTGCAGCTTGTCCTCATCATGTAATCAGGCAGATTTTACTCCCAACTCTGCTGTCTACACCTCACCCTCCAACATAATGAAGCAGGGGAACGTTAACTCCTAATTAAAGGGAATTTCATGCTGCACCTGGACCCTGTAGTCACAGTTCACTTGGCACATTCCCATCATTCACGATCATCATTTTACAAATATTTGCTGGTATTCAGCACATCCTACACTCCACCATAAGGGAGGTCCAGAGACAGTGGAGCCCAGGACACCTTTGGTATGTCAGGTCCAGAGCAGGAGATTAGGTCCTAAGATTCAGCTATCAGTAGAGCCAGCACGAAGTTCATAACATACATCAAGAAACATATTCTGAAATTCACTCATAATTGCTTCCTTAGAATGCAAAACACATGTTGCATAGTGTGGGTTGGCTTCTCAGATAAGCTCATAAATTCCCATTCACATGTTGATTTGCTGAACAGTGGTTTAAAAATGTACAGTACTAGGAACGACACAGGTGCTATTTAGGCTGTTATTTTGTTCATCTTAAACATTTGTGGAAAAAGGAAACTGTCAAAATAACCATCAACACTGAGTGAATTGAGATGAGCTAATTGGTAGCAGCACAGTGAGGATTTTTCTGGTGGTTTTTTGGGGTTTTTTGTTTCGTTTTGTTTTGGTACCAGAGATTGAATTCAGGACCTTGCATTTGTGAGGCAGGTGGTGGCACCACTGAGCTAAATTCCAGGCCCTCTTAAGCATTTTTATGCCATTGACTTCTTTGGTACTGTCTTCTTCTACTTTCAGCTACTATAACAAAATGCTTGAGACTGGTAATTTATGAAGAACAAAGACTTATTTGTCTCATGGTTGGGAGTCTGGAAACCCCAAGAGCATGGCTGTGAGTCTTCATGCTGTGTCATTCCAGGGCAGAAGGCAAAAAGGCAAGAAGGGCAAGAGCTACACAGCAAAAGAGGGCCAAATGCACTCTGATAATAAATCCACACTTATGAGGTCTAACCCATTCTCACAAGAGAATGACCTGATCATCTCCTATCAGACCCTACCTCCCAACTATGGAGATTAAGTTTTCAACCCATGGATTCCAAACACAAATTTTGAGGAATACATTCAAACCATAGTAGGCTGTCTTAATTCCTTCTCAGAATATTTTTGTGTATAAGATTACAAAAAAGAATACTAAAACACATGTCTGATCCCAGAAGAGCAAAAGAAAAAACCTCCAAGAAGCTAATTTTCTTGACTGTATACTGTGTTGTTTGTGCCCTTAGTAGAGAAAAATAAGGGACAGCAGATGGTTTGAAGATGTTTCCCTCAGGTAAGTGGGAAAAACAAACTGCAGAGAGGAAAGAGACATGGATTGAAAGATCTTCTGTCTGAATATCAAAACATTATGCTAAGTGAAAGCAACCTGACACAAAAAGTCACATCTTGTATGATTCCATTTGTATTATTAAATATCTAGACTAGGAAAATCCATAGAGAGAGAAAACCTATTAGTAGTTGCCAGGAGTTTAGAGTAGAGGGTAGCAGGGAGTGATTGTTCAATGAGTATTAGGGTTTCCTTCTGAGATGATGCAAATATTTTGGAAGCAGATTAAGAAGATAGTTGTATAACATGTTCCACTAAATTCCACTGAATTGCACACCTTAAAATGTAAATTTCATATTGAGTGACTTTTACCTCTTATTTTTTCTTTTTAAAAAGTGTATGAGTCATTGACGGAAAAGTTTATAGAAAAGTTAAGTGAGCTGAGGGAGGCCAAAAGAGAAGACAAGGAAAGGTTTAGGCAACCTGAAGGGACATAAGAAGGGATGCAGGGCAGAGTTCTCAAGGCTGAGTGATGTTCAACAGCTTCCCAGCAGGTGGGTTTGCAGGGAGCCTTCCTGTACAGATAGCTCTGGGAGTGAACTGTTTGGGTCAAGGAGAAGTCAGCCTCTCCATCCATTTGCAAGCTGGTGAAATAGACAAGAGATCAGAGTGGTTTGTGCAGAATGCTGCATGGGTCCTGGTGCTGGTTCACTGGAGAAACAGAGAGATGTGATAGGAAAATAAATGCTAGCATGGTTAAAAGCATGTAGGAGGTCATTTGTTAAAACTGAAATTGTCTATAGTAAAAAGTCGATTTAGGTGTGTTTACCAGGGAGCAAAGAGATGGACACACAGGTTGAAGTTCTGTTGTTGTTCCTCCCTCAAGAGAAGAAAAACTATCAGGACTTCAGCAAATCCTGATTCCAGAAATAATCACACAGCCAGACAAGCATTGAAGGGGCTATTGATCTTGCTTTTAAAGGATTTACATTACGTAGTGTGATGCTGTGTGTTCACCCCTCTCCCACATACACTGAGAAAGCCTTCTTCCCCAGGTTCCCATCCCAGTCACCCCAACCCTGGACCCACTGAGGATGCTGACGGATGACGCTGATGTGGCTGCCTGGCAGAACGAGGGCCTCCCCGCAGACCGAATGTCTGTAGAGAATGCCACCATCCTCACCAACTGCGAGCGCTGGCCGCTCATGGTGGACCCTCAGCTGCAAGGCATCAAGTGGGTCAAGAACAGATACGGAGAAGACCTTCGGGTGACCCAAATTGGCCAGAAAGGGTAAGCAGCTGAACATCAAAGTTACCACTGGCACCATTTGTGTAAGGAAAACAAATGTAGACGTTAAGTATGGCCAGAAGGTAAGCAGCTGAACATCAAAGTTACCACTGGCACCATTTGTGTAAGGAAAACAAATGTAGACGTTAAGTCCTGCATCTTATTTCTCCTCTTCTGATTGCTCCATGAATGCCTCTGATTTCTCGTGGTTCTCTCCCCATTTTAGAAAACATCTCAAAGAAATCCTTTGCTTTTCTTCCTCGTTAGAAATTGTGCACTGCCCATGTGGTGATTATAATTTACAGAACTTTATTGTGTATTTAATATAGAACTGGAAGAGAAGCTGAGAACTTTGCACTGTAACTGTAATCCAAGCCCTTGGGCAGGTGGATCTCAAGTTCAAAGCCAGCCTGGAATACATAGCAAGACCCTGTCTCAGAAAAATAAGGAGAAGGGGAAGGGGAAGGGGGAGAACTTGAAGAGAGTAGTTCGAAGGTTCCCAACACATACAAATGATAAATGATTAAAAAGCTGGAAACCCCAATTACCCTGATCGTTACCTGTTACACATGTGTCGTTATCACTCTGTACCCCATAAGTATATGCACCTATATCAATTTTAAAATGTGCTGCATCTTCTCCATCCATTAAGAGTACTTTCTTGCTATCCCTGCTAATCATCCTCCCTTTTCTCCTTATACACTTTTTGCCTTCCCACACCCAGCCCCTTGTTAGGCAGCCCTGTTTTAACCTTCACACGTGACTAAAAGCTGCCTTCCATACCCCTCCTCTACCCACTGTTCCTACCTCTGCCCTGGAGTCACAGACAAGAAGCTTACACTCTCTTTCTACTGACTCATCCAAACATTCCCATCCGTTGCATGGCAACTGTTAGGAAAGCGTCAGAGCCCTCAGTACACCCCACATGACTTGGTCCGTGTGAGATGGGGCAAGGGTGGCAGAGAAAACAGCTGGCCAGTGTTCACCAGGCTTTGCCAGCCTGAACCTCTGCACCTCTCACTGGTAACTAAAAAAGACAGATATTATAAGTTTCCGCTCAAATAAGTCACCTAGGGAAGTCACATTCACAGTAATGCCAGAAAGCAGAATGCTGAGGGCTACAGGTTGGGAGAAGGAGAGATTAAGGAGTCCGGATTTTGTTTACTTGTTTGTTTGTTCTGTCATTTGGGATTTTTTTTTTGAAGTCTCACTATGTAATTTGGGCTGGCCTTGAATTCTCTATGTAGCTCAAGCTGGCCTCAAACTCATGGCAAACCTCCTGCCTCAGCCTCCCAAATGCTGGGATTACAGGCGTGCCCCGCCATACAGAGAAAACACTGAATGCTAGAACTGGATCCCTCTAACAAAGTAGGCTTTAATGGGCAATGAACACCCAGGTGTGACATGATATATTTTTATTGCATCTTCAGTCACAGAACAATTGAATCCTGGCCTTCCTCCCAAAGTTTGATCAAAGTATTCCTTTCTAGTTAGCTAAATACATTTTAGACAGAAGTCTGTGTCTTTTTTGGTTATTACTATAACCCTCGTACCTAAAACACTGCTGACATATCACGTCATAGACCTTCATAAATAATTGTCCATTCATAAATAATTCTCTACTTGCACCCTTTGACTGTTTTCTATGGGGCGGTTTTCTAGATTTGTCATACATTGCTTGAGCACAAATGTTATTATATGTATAATGTTTTGTTTAAGTGTCTCATTTGCCTTTTAATTTTATGTGTGGGGTTTGACGTACTGTATTTTATTTAGTGAAACTTGTCACCCCACACCTTCCATAGATCATCTTTAGAAAAGTCTTTTGCACCAGAAACTCTTTAAATATTAATCTGTATTTTTATAGGTTTCTATGACTTTTCTTTTTACATTGAAATCCAACCATTTTCAATACATTTTAAGATCCTAAATGAAGCACAACTAGTTTTCCAATTGGTTAGCTATTGTTCCCATATCATCTGTCAAATTTCCCATCCTTTTCTCAATTAATTAGAAATGCCATTTTACTATATTAAATTATTTTATTGAGCAGGCCTTATTCTTTTCTATGCCTCTAATGTTACGCTGTTATTTCTGTGTTTCTATACTCCATAACATGTATGTTGTGGAATTTCTCATTACAAAATTAATGTGTTGTTATGGTTAGAAGGGTAGGGAAAAGGAGCTTCAAAAAGTACAGAAATAAAAACTTCTATAATTCATCATTCAAAACCACTGTGAACTAACTTTTTGGCATATCTTCTAAGACTTCTTTCATATACCTGCATTGTTGAAGTTACAAAAATTTTTTTAGTTTTAGGTACTATGAGACCTTCCTTCATGAAGGAACTTGAGGGACCAAGTAGTCCCTTTTCTTTTTTCTTTTTTGAGACAGGGTCTCACTATGTAGTTGAGACTGACCTGGAACTCACTATGTAGCCCAGGCTGGTCTCGAACTCACAGCGACCCTCCAGTCTCAGCCTCCCAAGTGCTGGAATTACAGGCGTGAGCCACCATGCCCAGCTAAGTAGTCCCTTTTCATCATCACTCTATTTATTTTTTACTATCTGCATTACATTATCTTAGTTTAATTTTAAGACATTTAGTCTTATTTTTGTTTGATTTACATACTTATCAAGCTCTGCATAACAATGAAGAGTTAAAAATAACCTAGACCTTTCCTAACTGGTTGATAACTACATGAAGGTGAAAAAATACTACCTAATAACCAGGAGTTAAAAAGTACTTCATAAGAATATCTAATGGCATGGGGAAATTTTATATTTTATGTTCAAAAGCTGGTATATAAAACAAAGGTGCTATATGAACTCAATTGTATAAAAACTAACTCTGAAAATATAGTACAGTTAACCTTCCATATCTGTGGCTTCTACATCCATGGATTCTACCAACCATGCATTGGAAACATTTAGGGGGAAAACTGAATCTGTACTAAATATGTACAAACTTTTCCCTTGTCTTATTCCCTAAACAGTAGTATAACAACTATTTGCATAGCATTTACATTGTCTCTGATAAAGGTAAAAGTAGTGAAAGGATGTACATAAGTAATTTGCGAATATTACACTATTTTATAGAAGGGGGTTGAGCATGTATGAAGTTTGGTTTCTGTAGGGTTCTGGAACCAATTTCCCTAAGGTTCCAGTGGAGCACTGAATATTCAAATACGCATAGTAAACACCAAATTGTTAATAGTGGATCAAAGAATAACTGTTAATTCTTGTATTTGTTTTTGTGTTTTGTAGTTTCTCCCTATCTCTAAAACTGTCAAGTGCTATTGTAAAGAGAAAAGAATGGGGCGGCTGAAAACGCTTCTAATGGCTGTGCCTCCAAGTTTTTTTGTGTGTCTTAGAGACCATGGTGGCCTCCTTAAATCGCCGCTGAATCAGACCTTGCCACAGGCTGACTCTGCCTAATTCACTCCCCACAGCTACCTTCAAACCATAGAGCGCGCTCTGGATGCTGGAGATGTGGTGCTGATTGAAAACCTGGAGGAGTCGATTGATCCTGTTCTGGGGCCTCTGCTTGGAAGAGAAGTTATTAAAAAAGGACGGTGAGATTCAGACATGTGGCTGCCCTGCGTGAGAAGCAGGTTCAAAGCCCTGATGAATACCACAGAGATTTATTCTTTCTAGCATCTTCCTCCTCAGCTCAGGTCAAGGAGCTCCCTATAGCTGGCACACCGTCCTCCTTTACAGCAGAGGCTACTTAGCTGCCCCGGTTCCTGGAGGAGGCTTCCTAGGTTAGACTCCACTTCCATCAGTCAACTTGTTGACTTCCCCCTCAATGGCCGTAGTGTACAACTGGGAAGAAATTTCAAAAGCAAAGTGATTGAAAAGCAGACTGTTAAAGCATAAGCATTTTTATCCAAGTCAGGTGTCTGAGTTCTGCAATCTCAGATCCTTGTCAATTTAATGAGCCTGCAACTTGGGGTGCTGGTACACGATCAGGGCTTAATAAGTGTAGGGCAGAAGGAGGAGGTGTAGAGGGTAAATGAGAGGAAGTAAAAGGGCCATCTTCTTCTAGGAGAGGGAGTGATAAATATCATGAGGGCATGCTTGACTCAAGAACTGTCTTAGTCCATTTTCAATAGCAATAACAAAATACATGATGTCAAGTAATTTATAAAGATAAAAGGTTTACTTAGCTCACAGTTTGGGAGACTGAAAGTCTAAGATGAGAAACCCATCTTGGGCCTCTGCTGAAACCCTTCTGACTACATCACAACATAGTGGATGGTATTATAGCAGAAGTGTATGCGAGTCAAAGAGAGAGGCCATGTAGTAAGTCAGGGAACAAGAGACCGGGGAAGAATATCTGACTCTTCCTGTAACAACCCACTCTTCTCAGGAACTAATCCACTTTTGTCAGACCTGCCTCTTCCCTGGGAGAGATTAGTCCCTCCCCAGGGCAGTAACCCACTGGGCTGCACCTCTTAAATGTCCACTACATCAATACCATCTCCCTGGAGACTAAGCTGCTAATGACCTTTTGAGGGACAAACCCTACCCAAACCATAACAACTAGCACCTCATTCACTGTCTAGGCCCTGAGCTGCCTTTCTGTATATTTAGATTGTGCTTATTTATATGTTTGTTTAATTTCAGCCATCAAAGTCACTCCCCTGTTAGCCAAGAGGAAAAGAAAGCCCTCTAATAGCCTAAAAATACCTTTATACAACTACAAAATGCCCCTTCCTCTAAAAGCTTTACTGCCATCTGCTGGAGATTTTTCATAGTATCCTAATCTATGCTTATCACAGTGGAATTGCACAGCAGAATTGCACAGTACAAAGTCAAACATGGTAGCAGAGGGAAACAGTCTATAGTCTTCTATACCTATTCTCCACATGAGAGCAACAAGGATCCTAGGATTCATGTTAAACACACCTAGAAGAAATCATCTGAATATGACAGTGTATCTGGCTATGATCTTAAAAATAAATCTTGAATTCTGTCCCTGACCAAATCTTGCAGGGAGGCGCTTCACCTTCACATGAGCCTTTATATTCCAGATTCATCAAAATTGGAGACAAAGAGTGTGAATACAATCCCAAATTCCGGCTCATCCTCCACACCAAGCTGGCCAATCCTCACTATCAGCCTGAACTGCAGGCTCAAGCCACCCTGATCAACTTCACCGTGACCAGGGTTGGTCTAGAGGACCAGTTGCTGGCTGCTGTGGTCAGCATGGAAAGGCCAGACCTGGAGCATCTGAAGGTACGTGGGGTGTTCATTGGGGAAGGGAAGAAAAATATATTCTCCCTCTAGATCCGTGTTGGGCACACCACTCAGGGAGCATGACTTAGTGAGCTGTTCTTGGAGCCAAGCATGGAAGGCTCTGCGACATGTTGGAAGATCCCAGCACTATCTGGCCACCCAGCAACACCAAGTTTAGCAAAAGAGGGTATGGAAAACTAAATACCAGAAACTGGGGTGGCTGGAAGAAGGAATATTCCCATGGTCAAGGACAGGACCTGGCACAGACTATGAATCTGATGGCCTCTGAATATGCATGGTCACAGGCCTACAGACAGGCATGGAATTAATTTCTTTAAAAGTAACAAAAATAAATTCAATGCAAGCTTATATCTAGTCAGCTCGGAGTGTCATTGCAAAACACCATAGACTGGGTGGCTTGAAGAACAAGCCTCCATTTTCTCATAGTTCTGGAGGAGAAAAGTTCAAGACAAGGGTGCCAGCCCAGGTGGTTTCTGATGAGGTCTCTCTACATAGCTTGCGGGTCGCAGCCTTCACAGTTTGTTCTCATGGGACCTTCTCTTGCGCATATGTTCAGAAAAGGAAAAGCAAATAATAGCAAGAAAAATCTGTACATATTCAACACAGACACAAAAAG